TGTGTGTGTGTGTGTGTGTGTGTGTGTGTGTGTGTGGTGTGTGTGTGTGTGTGTGTGTGTGTGTGTGTGTGTATATATATATATATATAATTTCTTTAGAAAAGAAGAAAGAAAATTTTATATTTTTGCAATTATAAAATGCACCCATATTTGAAAAAAATAATATCAAATTTTGGATATTAAAGCATAACTTTAAAGCACTTTATGTAAATGTAGCATAACTTTAAAGCACTTTATGTAAATGTAGCAATAAATATTAATAAAAGCAATCTTCTTGCTGTAGAAGATATTATCATATCGCGCATTATCATATATTAGATGACCACGATTAATCATTATTCTTAATCTAAACATATATTTTCGATCTACCATTTGCATACAGTTAAACAAATATTATGACACACAAAGAGTCATCATGTACACGTATCTATATATTACTAGCTTGGATTATATTGTTTTACAAATAACAAACAATTTAAACTCCTATGCACTCATCACTTTTAGATTGTAATGTTAAAAACAAGAAAATACACAATAAAAATTTTTACAAAATATATTTAAATAAAAAAATATAAAATATAAAATATTAAATATAAAAATATTTTTCAATAAAACAGCATTTTTAATTAATAGAATAGATATAAAATATATTGAAAATTGTCTTTTTATTTTAGGGAAGAATTAAATTATATTTATTTCTATATTATTAATTTTTGGTATTTACTATAGCTATAAACTGAGCTTATTTCGTTTTTGATTATAATTAAATATTGATATTTTGATATATTTATTTTCAAATATATGGTTATTTATTAATAATTAATAAAATAAAAGGAAAGTTTCAGTATACTTTACAAGTCGATTTTATCAATTGTTAATGTTGCTTTATTGAAATATATGCATTTTAATATTGTACAAGAATTTTTATTATATATTTTCTCATTTTTGATATCATAATCTGAAATAGTAATGATGAATAGGAATGTAATATAATTATGTAATATAATTTTACACATAGTTTCAATTAAAGAAACTTTCGTGAGAAAATTAACGTTCAAACAAGCATAGGTATTATTATAAGATCCAAAGAGAAATATATTATCAATAATTTGTTTAATAACAATATTATTAATGCGATAAATAAAATAATTAATATTTATAAAAATTGAATTTAAAAGAAATAGTCATGTTTAAATTAACAAGATATATTTAACAAATTCAAATAGATTTTGATAGAAATAAATAAAATTTCTCGTCTGACGTAACAATATATAAAAAAATATTTAAATGCAATACTAATCAAAGTCTGATTTTACTACATTAATATTATATTACATGCAGTAGTAATATCAAATCAAAATCTAGTTATTAGAATTATAA